AATATTGCATTTGAAATGTTGAACCTGATGACGCGTACATAGCAAATCCAAAAAAAAATAACTGTTCTTACGTATTTCTCCAAAATGCATATGCAGCCGATTGTCTATTTCAAACTAAGCGACCACATTCACCGGCTAACCTAACTGAAATACTGACTTCGATGTAAAAAAAAAAATCCTTTGCAACTCAATCACACCAAATCTGTTTTTATTTGTCTTCTTTTAGTTTTATCCCACACAAATCACTTGCAAGTTCTAAAAGCAAATAGTAATATTGTCACAAAATGTCGGCAGAGGAGCAAATTCCTGTTGTAGCCACCGATGGCGTCAAAGTCACAGAAGCAAGTGAATCGTCGGTTGTAGCGGATGCTGCCATTACCACAGATTTAATTGTCGAGCAGGAGCGCGCCGAAAAAATTCTCAACGCCAAGGAGTTGTACAGTCATGGTTCGCGTAATTTTCTTGTAAAGAGCTATGTTGAGGCAGCAGATGAGCTGAGTCAAGTTTGCGCCTTGTATGAAGAATTGTACGGCGAGCAGTCAGATGAATTGGGCATGCCATACTTGCTGTAAGCACACTTTCGTTTCTATGTGCACTGCCTCTCTACTAAATTTCATTTCACTTCACTTTCTTTCCATTGTAGCTATGCCAAATCATTGATTGCCTTGGCTTTGGATGAAAACAAAGTCATCGATGTGCCCGACGAAGAAGAACTCGAGGATGATGACGAAGAAGATGGCGTTGAGGGTGATGACGATGAAGCAGCAGCGGAAGGCAGTAATGGTGCGGTGGCAGCAAGTTCAAATGGTGCAACAGCAAAAGTCAAGCTGGATGACAACAAAGAGAATGATGATGAGGCAGACTCAACGGGCGGTGAGATAGTGAAGCCTGCTGAAGCGAAAAAATCGCCTGCTGTTGAAAAGCCTGTCGAAGATGGGCAAGTTAGTAGCACTGATGATGTTAATGGTGGTGCTGCTGATGTGGAGCAGAAGGGAAAGCAGAAGGAGGAGAAAACCTCAAATGGCGCAGCCAATGGCAAGTCGGCCACCCGAGTTGTTGCCGCACCTGTTCTGGATGGCGAAAAGCCAAGCACTTCGAATGGCGATGCAGATGCTGGCGAAGAGGACGATGAGGAAGAGAATGAAGCGGTGAGTAGTACTTGAAGCTAATTTCATTTTAATATAAGTACGTGTTTTGTGCGCCTTGAACTGAATTGAATTTGGGAATTGACTCAAACAAAGAGTGTTTGTACTTAGTTATGTAGGTGTCCGGTGGTGCAGCAGCGGGGGTTGATAGCGGGTGTATTATGCCACATCTGCCAGAGGGGCTTATTCCATTTAACCAACTTAGGCAACAACGAGTGAACGAACGTACGCACTTGGGGACAAAATATGCAGTTAGAAATGAGAAAAATATAATCACTATAAAAAAAATTAAAAAATTACAACGAAAGTAAAAATAATAAAATACTCTTATTAGGGTAAAATTTTAAATAAGGGAATCGTATCCGCTTTAAATATTGCAACAAGCAATTAATTTCGAAAATTAAATATTGTCTCCTCCACTGTGTAGTTTTCAAAGTGATTGCTTCAGGCTCTCAATTTAAACTCATTAACTATTTCTTTTTTTTTTGCTTCACGCGTATTCCGTAGGCTTCGAATCTGCAATTGGCCTGGGAAATCCTTGAGTTGGCTGCCAAAATATTCATACGCCAAGGTACAAGCGGTCTACCCAACCTTGCTGAGGTGCAAACGGAGTTAGCTAATATCGAATTTGAGAACAACTTGCCCGAGGCGGCACGTGAGGATTACGGTAAATGAAAAAAATTCAACAGCTTTACATATATTTATGTATTTTCGCAAAGAATTTGAAAATAAACTAAAAATTCTTTTCTCATCTATCCACATACATACATATACAGTGAAGGCACTAAAAATTTACAGTGAATTGCCTACAAATTATCGTCGCGCGATGGCAGAAATACACTACAAAATTGGTCTTACATATCTGATGCAGCAGCTGAATAAAGAAGGTGCTGAATCGCTAAAGGATGCCTGCACTTTGATTGATGCCGAAATAAAAGAGCTAGAAGCTAACGCGGAGGAGCTCAGCGAAAAGCAGAAGAACAACATACAAGATATGGAGGAGACAAAACAAGAAATTTGGGCTAAAATCGCCGAAATTGAAGACACACAAGCGCAGGTAAAAGTGTAAATGCTGGTCATGCGCTTAACGATTATTTATTTGCTTCTCTTTTTTTTAATGCAGAACATAGCTGAGGTGCGCGCTGCATTGGACAGTTACATTAAACCCATCAACTCGGAGCAAAAGGATGCCGCTGGACCCTCGTCGTCGTCATCGACGTCGGCAGCGGGCGCATCTTCTTCCTCCAGTTCAGCAGCTAAGCCTACAGACATTTCACATTTGATTAAGCGCAAGAAGCCCGATGAGCAGAGTTCGGAGGCTGAAGCGGCGGCATCACCAGCCAAACGGCCAGCTGTTTAATTCCTTCGCGCCGCTTGAACTTCTTTCGTATTTTTGTTTGTATCTTTTGATTAGCGAGCGCAAGCTAGAGTGTATGTAAATTGCTGCTGCATTCCGTTCATATTTATTAATTCAATTACATATGCAAACAAAAGTGTAGGGGGAAACAAAAAACTAACAAATAATAAAACAAAATTTAACGAAAAAACGGCGTATGCTGCAAAATTCCATCAGACGGCCAAAAAAAATACTTTTTTTTGCTTGCTTAAGCCTTTTGTGTCGGTGCATTGTTTGGTAGTTTTAAATTGATGCAGCAGTTTTATCGGTCTTTCCACTTTTTAATGCATATTTGAGTAGCCAAAGTGAATAATTTTGTCTTTCATTTCTCCATCTATTCTCAACTGGCTGCCGCACTTTCTGTCCTTGTATTGTAATTTATTCGTACAACTACATACATACGCATTTACATACACACAGGGGTTTCATATTATTTTTGCAGCTGCACTATTTTTTGTCGGCATGACTTGCAGTCAAAAATTGAATTGCCTTTTTATACTTCTCTAAAATTTTCTTTGAATTAAAATTTTAATTTTCTACTGCCAGTAGCGATTTTTTGTTTATATTCTCTTAATAGCAACTAGTTGTAAGCGTATGCATTAATCATATACATATTTATACATATATCTACGTACATAACTTATTAATAATAGTTCATGCTAATGTTTGTATTGTTTTTTTTTTTTTTACTTAAAAGTTCGATTTGAAAATATCTCTGTACCGCTGCTCTACAAAAAATGAGCTGTAGTTTTAAGTTGGACAATACAAACTTTTAAATTTATATTCAAAATGAATCATGAAAACTTTTCTTTGGGACTATGGTGGGTTCTGCTGATAAATCGAAACTTTGAGGTCGAACTTTTAACACTTTAATGTACCAACTGCTAATTAAGGAAATAAGAAGTCCTATGAAAAAAATAACTTCAAATATTGGGAAGTCGGATGCTGCCGTTCCTTTGCTGTTAATAGGACGGGCAATATTAGGTGACTGCCAGGTCAGGGGCTCAATAAGGCGTTGCTTAGATTATTTCTGAAACGGTAACAGCAAATAGTCCATATATTAAGCGGATAAGAAAAGCGATGGATACTCGTCACTCACTCCCCACTGGCTCGTAAAAGTTTCGATATCTTCGTGCACTCAAAAGCGAATTGCGAGGTCGATAGAAATATTCTGGGTTTACTTTTATCCTATTGACATATATGTATATAGATAGTGTTCTAGACCACCCTACAACCCCTCTAAAATGGGGGGAAATGTTTTTTTTTTATTGAAAAAACGCAAAACTATGACCAATCAGATCAGGGATGCTCTTCTTTTGGTGGTATTACCGACCGGAATTGGATTAAAGAGGCCAGAAGTCCATTTTTTTTTTTTAATTACACATACATCTTTTTACTACAGATTCGTAATCTGCGGAAAAAATACGTAACTCTAAATTATCTGGATTTCGGAATGGATGAACATATTTTTATTGGAAAACAAAAAAATATAAATCGCCAGGTCGGGGATGCTCTATATTTTGTTCTATTAACAACTTCCGGTTTCGACCGAATGTGGATTAAACTGGACGGAAGTTAATTTTTTAAGTAGGAAATACATATTTTTACCACAGATTCGGACTCTGCGAACAAAAATAAATAAATTTGGTGGGAAACTTTTCTGGAAAGGACTTCCGGTTAAGATAATGAATTTCCGGTCTATTTAACCCGCTTCCAGACGAAACTGGAAGTCGGTAATACCACCGAAAAATAGAGCATCACTAATTTGGTAGATCTTATCTCTGCGCTTTTCAATAAAAAAAAATCATTTCCCCCCATTTTAGAGGGGGTAGACGGGCGGTCTAGGAACCCTATATACTTAGTATTATATTCTGCAGTATTTTTCTATGCGATTTGCTTACTTTACTACTGTTTTGAAAAGCATCATACTGAAGTAATCTAACGGTTACTGCTATTTATTTATGCAAGGTGGCAACAATACTAGCTGCAATGCTTGGACAAACTACAACAAATAAATTGACTACATATGCATTTGATGAATGGTAGAACAACATTGCTATGCAATTAACTATCTGCTATGTGGCTCAGAAAATTCAACTATGCAATACGTTAAATATTTATGTAGATACGAGTAGTTAAGTTGCTGCCTAGAAGATACTAAAGATAGTACGGTAGTTGAATCTAGCATTCGATACGTGTAAAAGTAAAGTTTCTTTTCCCGTTTAATTGATTGCACGTAGTAGAAATTGCATTTAGTGATAGAATGCAGTGTGAGTAGTGTGTAATGCCAATTGAAAACGAATTTTTTCTTCACGCAAATTATAATTTTGAAAAAATTTTTAAAATCTATTTGTGTTTTTTGGTGTGTTTTTTTTTTTTTTTTGTTTGCTTTCTGTTGGAATACACATAGATTGTACCATACGTACTTAAATGGGGCTGCAATGAGGTCTGGGACTCACTATGTTGCCAATCGTTTCGCTGCTCTTCGCCACGAGCATTCTCCATCGAGCCGGCCAGATAGTTGACGCAAGGTGGTGCACCGCGTGGAAATTTTGGATGTCGTCGCAGTTCTTGTAATTCTTGCATCGGCAAGTCTATGCAAAGTGTCCAAATGCCACCGTGCATGGGTACTAGAAAAACGGTGTCTCGCCGAAAGCGATATTCCACTGTAAATGTGTAAAAAGATAAATATTAAAATCAGAATTTTTTTAGGCAGTGTGATAGGAATGTTGCATTTTATTAAAATAAGTTAATACATAAAGAATCCTGAGAAAATAAATATGCAGATGCGCTGCTGCATACTACAATTGCTGAAACCAAGCGGGGTACAACCACAAACTAAAAAGTACTGCCCTCTAGCAGGGTCCTATCACCCACCAAAGGTATCCGCTACCAAGACTATGCGGACGACATAGTGATCATTGTCAGAGGGTTGTTTGAGAGCACTCTTTGTGACATCATCCAAAAAGGTTAAGATTAACAAAGGTTGTTGGTGTGCCAAGTTAGGGCTTAGCATAGATCCAGCCAAAACTGAACCGGCGACGGCGCTGGAAGTAGCCCTCGAGCTTGAGCCCCGCCAAAAGAACTATTACTTCTAGGTGGCACGCTGCATTAGTACATAGATGACTGGAAGGCCCCAGAGGAAATAGGAGCTGGAATCTTCGGACCCAGGACCAGGATCCCTGTTCATATCGGAAAATATCCGAGCATCTTTCAGGCAGAAGTCTACGCCATATATCTTTGTGCGGAGAAAATCATGAATAGAGCGTACATAAACGAGACAATCATAATTCGGAGCGACCGCCAGGTGACACCCAAGGTTCTGTTATCTTATGAAGTCAACGCTCAACTCCCTTGGCAGACACAATAACATCAAGTTAGTGTGGGTACGAGGGGGTAACGAGGCCACGGACTGTCTCGTTAGAAAGGCGACAGCCATTAATACAGTTGGCCCGAGCCCTTGCTGAAAGTACCTCCCGACTTTATAAAGGATGAGCTTTGGAGGGAGAGGAACACACAGAGAGATATACATTTGCATGTCTCAGGAGCGATGCGTCAGGCAAAGAGTTTACTGGGAAAGTTTAACAAGAAGAGATTCCAAAGCTTGGTTAATCTCCCAAAAGATAGGCTTAAAATTGTAACAGGTATCCTTAGCGGGCACTGCAGACTAAGCAGACATCTACATAAGCTGGGGACATGGTAAAATGATCCGTGCTAGTTCTGCGACTCGACCAGTGAGACACCACGTAACATTCTCACCGAGTGTGATGTAGTTTGCAGAAGACAAGAGAGAAGTCAAGGCTCAATGTGGCCACATCCACCCACTATTTCCAAAGGCGATGTTGAACTTTCTGGGGAAGATAAAAGTATAACGCTTCCAGTAGCATTGGGAATCCGATCAAAAAGGTTGTAACAAATAACTAATTTGCAGAAGTGGAATAAAATCAGATAATTGAAGGCGGGAAGTAGCGCATGTCTTATAGCTCAGCTCTTACAGACCTTTTTCCCTGAAGACCGTTCATAAGTATTCTGCCCCCTTCACAGGCGAGGGAGTGAATGCGAGAGCCATAGCTTCAAGGTCCAATTGGTTTGTTGCTAAAACCATAGTGAATGAAGATGCCATAGGATATGCTATTGAATCGTTTAAAAGCTTCATCTTCCCCAGCTGAACATTTGTTAATGCACTTGAAAAATTTCTTCACTGCATCACTTACATTTGCTTACAGAGCATAGTAGTGTAGACTAGTTGACATCGCGTTTAACCCTGTAAAGCTTCACTTTTACACTTACTTTTCTTGTCCGGCTTTAACATTGCCACCTTGTCGTCCAACATCCACTCTAACTGCATGCCTGAACGATTCATATATCTATCCAAGCTATTACGATCCCACGTCACATGTTCCCAATGATCAGTCATAATGGCGGCGCAGAGCATAGCTGTCGCACTGGTGGTCATCAACAGTGTTACGAACAGAAATAGCACCGGCGGTGGGCCGACACAGCAGTTAGAGCAACAAGACGAAGCGTCTGTGCCACTGCCCATATCCATAGCTGAATTCAGTGACGTTGGCGTGCCGAGGCCACCAGCTGAGCCATCGATAAGGCCGCCGCCGCCACCACCACTTTGGTTCAGCGCTTTGGCGCAGCTACTATTTCGCAACAGGATGCTATTGCTGCGTCTCAAACTCTCAACAGCCGCTGCTGCGGCTGCACTTGTTGCCGCCGATGGATCGAAGTGAAACGAGTTTTGTACCACCGCCGAGGGGTGTTCATAAATGCTGTTGTGCCGACTGGGCGCGAAGTAGTAGCACGTCGTTTGTGTATTGCTATTTGTTGCTTTGTTTTGGTGATTACTGTGACCGTTGCCAATGCCGAAGGTGCCGCTGCCACCGGACGCACCGCCAGCCACACCATTGAGTCCGCCCCCGCTACCGCCGTGCTCATTGATTGCGCTCAAGTCCTCATTACTGGACGTATATAATATCGATTGCGCAAATTGATTTGAGTAGCAATTTTGTTTAAAAGCGCTGCTACCAATTTGATAATGGCTTGGCGGTTGGTGGTGGTAGTGATGATTGCTGCCGGTTGTAGATTTACCGCTGCC